TGACAGAGTTAGGCCAAAACTTTGGATGGTAATAGCCTGAGTATCTTGACACACATAGAGCAAGTATCTGGACAGTATTAGCTCAATCATCTTGTCAGTACTTAGATAATATTAGATCAAATATCCTCACAATATTAGAGTGGGTATTGGGATGAGAATCTTAACATTATTAGTAAGATTCTTGGTAGTGTGGATGAGCAGAAAGATCTCGGTGTCCATGTGCATAGATCACTGAAAGTTGCCACCCAAGTTGATAGCGTTGTTAAGAAGGCGTACAGTATGTTAGGTTTTATTGGTAGAGGGATTGAGTTTCGGAGCCATGAGGTCATGTTGCAGCTGTACAAAACTCTGGTGCGGCCGCACTTGGAGTATTGCGTACAGTTCTGGTCACCGCATCATAGGAAGGATGTGGAAGCATTGGAAAGGGTGTAGAGGAGATTTACCAGGATATTGCCTGGTATGGAGGGAAGGTCTTATGAGGAAAGGCTGAGGGTTTTGAGGCTGTTTTCGTTAGAGAGAAGAAGGTTAAGAGGTGACTTGATAGAGACATACAAGATGATCAGAGGATTAGATAGGGTGGACAGTGGGAGCCTTTTTCCTCGGATGGTGATGGCTAGCACGAGGGGACATAGCTTTAAATTGAGGGGTGATAGATATAGGACAGATGTCAGAGGTAGGTTCTTTACTCAGAGAGTAGTAAGGGCGTGGAATGCCCTGCCTGCAAAAATAGTAGACTCGCCCACTTTAAGGGCATTTAAATGGTCATTGGATAAACATATGGATGATAATGGAATAGTTTAGGTTAGATGGGCTTCAGATAGGTTTCACAGGTCGGGGCAACATCGAGGGCCGAAGGGCCTGTACTGCGCTGTAATGTTCTATGTTCTATGATTATCTGGATGTTATTGTCATAATTACAGTGGGTTTCTGAACGGTATGAGAGTGAATTTCTTGATAGAACGATTATCTTGACAATATTAGAGTAGGGATCTTCACAGTATTACAGCCCAGATCTGGCTGAAATTAGACTGAGATTTTTAACAGTATTAGAATGTGTATGTTGTGGTATGAACACAAGTATTCTCAGTATTGGAGAGGGTATCTATTAGATCAAGAACCTTTACAGTGTTAGACTCAGTGTCTGGATGGTATAAGATTACTTTGTCAGTATTAGAACAGGTACCTGGATGATGTTAGACTGAATTTCTTGTTATTTGCGGAGCAAGTATCTGCTTGGTATTTGAGAGGGTATCTTAACAGTTTACAGCGGTTATCTGGAAGCTAATAGAGTGAGTGCTGTGACAGTGCTGAATTTCTTGTTATTTGCGGAGCAAGTATCTGCTTGGTATTTGAGAGGGTATCTTAACAGTTTACAGCGGTTATCTGGAAGCTAATAGAGCGAGTGCTGTGACAGTGCTAGACTAAGAATTTGGAAACTAATAGCCTGAGTATCTTGACACATATAGAGCATGTATTTGGATAACATGGGAAGCGATGGCCAGTGGTATTACCGCTGGACTGTTAATCCAGAGACCCCGCTAATGTTCTGCGGACCGGGGTTCAAATCCCATCATGGCAGATGGTGGAATTTGAATTCAATAAATATCTGGAATTAACAATCTAATGATGACCATGAATCCATTGTCGAAAAAACCCACCTGGTTCACTAATGTCCTTTAGGGAAAGAAACTGCCATCCTTACCTGGTCTGGCCTACAGCAATGTGGTTGACTCTTAACTGCCCTCTGGCCATTAGGCATGGGCAATAAATGCTGCCTAGCCAGTGACGCCCTCATCCCGTGAATGAATAAAGAAAAAAAAATTAGCATAATCATCTTGCCAGTATTTGGTTGGTATTAGATTATCTTAACATTATTAGACCGGGTATCTGGAATGGTATGGGTGCAAATACCTTGACAATATGAAAGTGAGTATCTAGATGATATTAGCCCGAGTATATTTTGACGATATTACAGCAGCTATCTGGATGGTAATAGAAAGAGCATTTTGACAGTATTAGAACAGGTATTTGGATGGTGTTAGAGTGAACACCTTGATAGTATTAGAGCAAATGTCTGGATGGTACTGGAATACACATCTTGACAATATTACAGTGTGTATATGAATGGCATTCGTGAGAATATCTTGTCAATATTATAGCACTCATCTAGAGTGTATGAGGGTGGTTATCTAGTATCATTAGAACAAGCATTTGATTTCATCTGTATGATTTATGGGTTCATTTTTGATGTTATA